TATATCTTATCTTATTTTCTTCTTGCTCTATTGAGAGAGCATTTTGTTAGAAGTAAATTCATGTATATTATCTTATTGAGAAGATAATCATATTTTTATTATAAGTAAAACACATATAAATTATTTTATTGAGAAGATAATTGTATTTTCATCAGAAGTAAATCTCACATATATCATCTTATTGAAAAGATAATTAGATGTATAATCTCTTGAAGTTATAAAGAGTTAATTACTGTCATGAACACAGTTATTATTATCATTTTAAAATAATTACATACATATAATCTTAAAATGATAACAGTATTTAATAATTAATTATAATAATATATTACATATAAATAATTTTTATTAGTTTAATATTAAATTTAAGTCTCTAAAAAATTAATTATACCTAATTATTTTAAGAAATATCTGCTTAATTAGTATTTATGCAAACTTTTAAGAGTCTCTATACATTATTGGTTAATGCCTGCTATATCATTGGCTATATTATATAATATGCTATATTACATTATATATACAAAATTGAAAATTAGAGAAAAGAATTCTTTTCTTTTATATGTTTCTGTTCACCATTGTAAATATTACCAAAAGCCGGACTTGTTTTTTTATTAGGTCGGTTACACCAGTAATTAATTACGCGACAAACATCTAGAGAATGAACGCGCGAGAAATGATACGTGACTAAAAAAAATAATTTGTTCGATTACACGTGACTACCTGATTTAGTTGACCTGGTTGTTATAGTCCTCAAGGTAAAATGCAAGAAAAGTATGAATTTCCTAAACGTATGAAACGTGTATGTGTTATTGGAGCTGGAGCAGCTGGTCTGATAACCACAAAAAATCTAAGAGACGAAGGACTTGAGGTTAATGTGTACGAGCGAAACGCGCAACTCGGGGGAGTCTGGTATGTATCTTTTCGTTATTCTCGTTCACTTTATAATGGGTCGTTACATTTTATTTCTTTTTAGGTGTTACTTTGATAAACCAGATGTAAGATCGACTTTTCCACAAACTTCACCTTTTTTTGACACCTTACTGGAAGTTCCTTCAATTCTACCCGCCAAAACCATCCACGTTAGCAGCAAAAATTCTCACGATAATAAAGTTCCTGAAGAGTATGCAACCCCATTGTATAAAGACTTGCATACCAATTTTCCCCATCAATTAATGAGCTTTGTAAACTCACCTTTTCCCGAAAACATCCCAATGTTTCCAAATCACGCGATAGTCTCAAAATATTTGATAGATTTTGCGAAAGATCACGCGTTAATAAATTTAATTGAATTCCAAACTTCTGTAGAACGTGTCCGCGAAAATGAAAGTAACGATGGATGGAAAGTTGTGTTACGCCATTACGAGAAAAAAAATGACTTGGAAAGTAAGATTGAATGTTATTGGCGTGAAGAAGAATTTGATGCAGTTGTGGTGTGTAATGGGCACTATAATGTACCATATGTGCCGGAATTTGAAGGGCTGGAGGAGTGGAGTAAGCAATTTCCTGACACTCTGTATCATTCAAAATATTTTCGAGAACCTAATGATTTTATTGATAAGGTATTTAAGTTCTTGTGCTATATAATCCCTTAAATATTAGATAATATTTTTCATTCTTTCGCTTAGAACAGACGGTGTTAGTTGTTGGTAGTAGCGCCTCAGGAACAGATATTAGTCGGATAATCGCGCGTATCAACAAAAAATCCGTATACCAATCTATTCGTACTCCTTCGATGTTTTCGGAATTGAATGAGAAAACCTCAATAATTATTAAGCCTACAATCAAAAGATTCATCATCATAAACGATAGCTCTAGTAAAAAAGGTATTATCGAATTTATAGATGGCAGTATCTTGAGTGATGTAGACGTGATAATATTCGCAACTGGATATTTGTACAGTTTTCCATTCCTTCGGGATCTTTCATACTCACCGTCTGTCGATGGCAATAGTAGTAACTTGCCTGAAAACAAAATACTGTTAAAAAATGGTAAACGCGTGTTTAATATATATAAACAGATTTTTTATATTCCTAATCCCACTGTAAGTATTATTTCTATTCCTATTGTAATTGAATCATCGCTGTATTAATTTATAATCATCCATCGATATTTAGTTGTCATTTGTTGGTTTGCCATATATGGTTGCACCATTTCCCATTTCACAATTTCAATCTCTTTTTATTGCAAAAGTTCTCGCGGAAAAGGTTTTTCTTCCATCTCAGGATAAAATGCGTCAAGAATCCAAAGAAGAGGAGGAATCGAAAATCCTAGAAATTGTGAAACAAGATTCAAAAGTCTCGGATGAGCTACCATATCTAATGAATCCCACAAAAACGGTAGATATTACGTTAATAGAACGCCTGTTTCATGGGTTAAGAACAGAAGAGCATCAGTACATTAATGATTTAATAGAGTGGATAAATCATGATGCAATTATTGGAAATACTGATGAAAATATTGTTAAAATAGAAAAGTTACCATTATGGAGAGTTGAGATGCGACGTAATTTACTTTCACTGAGGAAAGAGCATTTAGAGCATTTTCGAGATTAAATATTAATGTTATTTATCATCACATTGCAAAATAATGAATAACTTAAATCCCATTATTATAGAATTTTATTGGAAATATTTAATAAATTTTCAGGTCGTAAAATAATACAATTTCAAAGTCGAAATAAATTGAGTATCTTATTTCATTTCTAACCAATTATCTTTCAAACTTTCGAAAACATAATGAAGCATTCACTCCACCAAACCCAAAACTATTAGTCAACGCAGCACGCACAACTTTTTGTTGAGCTGCCAATGGTACATAATTGAATTGACGGAACTCGGTATCGGGGTTTTGAAGATTCAATGTAGGCGGGATGATATTCTAATAGTAATAGTAACAACATAAGAAACACAAATAATCAAAAGATGATAATTATCGTAAAGCTAATTACCTCATATACCGCCAATATGGTGAAAATGGCCTCAACTGCCCCAGCCGCACCTAACAAATGTCCAATAGCTCCTTTGTTAGACGAAACAGCCAGGACATTCGACATGTTAACTTTATCAATCACTCTGTTAGGAAATACACTTGCTATCGCGCGATTTTCTGCAATATCTCCCAGTATCGTTGAAGTTGCATGCGCATTAACGTAATCAATTTCATTTCCCGATCTAGAGTGATGTAAAGCCCTTTTCATGGCAAGTACGGCACCACTTCCATCTTCAGGCGGTGCTGTCATGCGATACGCATCACCTTATATTTTAGAACAAAAAATTTATGAGCTTATCTGATTGAATTATCATGCATGCTGAGAAATTCGTTACTGTATACCTGATAAACCATAACCACAAATTTCAGCGTAAATTCGTGCACCGCGTTTTTTTGCATGCTCTAGTTCCTAAAGATATGTTTAATGATGTTTATTTTTGTCAAGTGTATACTTGTGTTTTGAGCATCTTAACACTCACCTCAAGGACAACAACACCAGCACCTTCGCTAATTACAAATCCATCACGTTCTCGATCAAAAGGACGTGACGATTCTCTCGGACGATCATTCAATTTTGTCATTAAAGATTTAGCCCTTTGCGTCGAGTCGAAGAAGTTAGAAAAACGCGATTCATAGCATAATCAAAAAATTAGATACAAACTTTGCAAACCCAGCAAGAGATAACGGATGTATACAAGATTCAGAGCCGCCAGCAATTATCACGTCTGCATCGCCAAATTGAATGAATCTTGACGCGTCGCCTATCGCATGTGCTCCTGTTGTGCATGCGGTTGCGACTGCATGATTCGGACCCTAAAAATAATAAGAAAGATTATGATGACCTAACATCAAGTTCTCAATAAACTATGATAAAGTAATTTATATAATAAAGCTTACGCGAAATCCGTATTTCATCGTTAAATGTCCAGCAGCCATATTGATTAACATCCTTGGAACAAAGAGTGGTGAAATTTTACGGTAGCCCTTTGCGATTATATTAAATGGATAGTATAACGCGACAAATTTTAATAAATTTATGAGGATAGAAGAAATTTAACAATCCATTTCAGAAAGAAACATAATAATAAATCCAACCTGATTTTCATATATTAGCGTCGACGAAACCACGTCTTCAAAACCTCCAACTCCTGATCCTATACATACGCCCTAAAACAGCATATGTAAAGATTCGAAGTCTAAAGATGAAGGAAGGCGATGAAATACAATTTTACCATAGATTGAAATCATGAGCATACGGTTCGCTCCTTCTCATAATCCGTATCTGCGGACCATTCTGCATCCGCTAATGCTTGTTTAGCGGATGCAATAGCAAACTGTGTAAATAATGCCATCTTTCGTTCGTCCTAAATATCGATTCCCGTGAAAATAAGCTTTTTTTGAAATATCCTTTTAATGGTCAATTGTTTCGTATCACATCGCATACCCCTCGATCCAGCCATTCTTCTGGATCAAATCCTCCCTCTTTCGCTTTTCCACGTTTAACAATTCCTGCCACAGTTGACGGCAACCCCTCAAAACCACCGTATGCTAATGTTTTCGTATTCTCCGTTCCTTCATGAGATACCAAAGATATTATTCCACAGTTACCATTTATCAGTTCTTGCCAGGATTTTTGGACTCCTGTTGCTAAAGGGGTTACAAGGCCTAAACCAGTGACTACTACTCGTCGAAGTGAATCCATATTTGAAAAGTATCACGATCACGCGAGATTTTTATAATTCTGACCAACAGTTGAATTTCAATATCTTGTATCAAAAATTTTTCTGATGGGACAAAAGAAAAAAAACTTTAAAAAACCTAGTTTTGAGACAGGCGACGATAAATATGATATGCACGGTGGCAGAATAAAAGCAATAAAGACATGGGCTGATGTCGAACACGACTCAGAAGACGAATGTAAATAGGGTTTGGGCTATTCTCGAAATTACTTCGAATCCTTCTAATTTATCGCAAATATTTAGTCATGGAAAATAGAGAAATTATTTCACTTGATCCAAACGAAAGAAACAATCAGCATGGTAAAATTCTATTAAACTTGAGTTATTGATATCTCTTTTGCTAAGCCTCCATTGATCAAAGTATGCTCTACAGATGATTCTGAACTTTCGGAGGAAGAGGTTCTTGCTTTGCCATCAGACGAAAACGAAGAAGAGGATGAAGAGGAGGAGGATGATCAAGAGGAAGATGAGGCGGTTGATGATTCTGATGAATTAGATCTTGATGTAACACTTTCCGGCAGTGATCATGAAATTGAAGATTATGATAAAGAGCCTACATTAGAAACATGGGGAAAGTCAAAACACGCCTATTACGATGCTGATGAACTCTCAGATTTTGAGGATGCAAAGGAGGAAGAAACAGAGGCATTAAGACTGCAAAAGAAAAGAATTAGCAAGATGTCTGAGGAAGATTTCGTAGAGAAAGAATTTTTTGCTGGATGGTCTACTGGGGCTGCATTGGACAAGGCAAATTTTTCTATTTCATTTTGTTACATCTCACGATAACTAATATCACTACGATTAAAAGAATCTTTTGCGTTAACAATTGAATTTCTCTTATTTTTTTATCATAGGATGATGAAAACGATAGGCAGCTAATTGAAAGTGTCAATCAAGATCTTAAATCAATTTCTTCAATAAAGTAAGATATATTCAATTATATAATATTTATTCAATCATAAATATTGTTTGTTGATTTGTTTATTTTGGCGGATTTCAGCGATCTCCAAGAAGAAATATTAGTTTTAAAAAAAAATAATGCTTCCGCGGATGAGATTCTCAAAGTCATAAAGAACAATTCACCAGAATTGTTAGAGCTGGCAAATGAATTTCGCGAGAAATTCGCAACTGTTAAAGAAGTTTCTTCTATTTTGGAAAAGTGAGTATATATATCTGTCATCTATTTGCTTATGGAAAGGTATTTTGAGTAACTTTTGATTTTTGTCATTTGAAGAGCCACAGAGAAGAAAATAGTAGAGAATCAGAAGAAAGAGGATAATCATGCTCACAATTTCCTGTCCTTGAAATATCAAACGTTGATAAATTACCTGATGAATATATCTTTTTATTTCGTTTTGAAATCGTCGGCGACACCCCGGTTGTGGCAGCATCCTATATTTAATGCTCTGTTAGAAATACGAAAGGCTTTAGATAAACTTGGAGAAGTCGAAAAAGAAATGCAAGAATCGATCAAACGATATATAAAGAAAGTTGATGAATATGAGACTGTTAGTGGGAAAGAAAATGGTACGCAAAATATTTTCTCAATAATAATTATTCTTCCGTACATCTATCTTTAACATATAATAAATGTTTTTATTAGATTCAATACCTAAGCGATCAGTCGCTATCAATTCTCTTAATTCAACAGAGAAACTTCCCTACAAATCTGCGTTGAAAAGTGGCATCGCCACAAAATCACCAAAAAAAGTTGTCATTATTACTCCAACACATTCACAAGATGAAGATGATGATGACGATGATTTTTATAATAATATAGAACTATCACCTTTACCTGCCTCTAAAACTTCTTTGTTGCTATTAGAGGACGAATTTGTTAGTTTACAAGATGTCAAGAAAAAGAAGCGGAAAAGAGTTTGTATTCTTTTTATCAATCTGATGGTATCTTGCTTTTCGTGCATTAAAATATTTTTGGTTTTATGAAAAATCTTAGATGTCTTCGGACCTTGGCGATCTGGATGCTATGGACGAAATAGACGCCGAAGAGAAGGCACAAAAGAAAAATTCGTTACGACAATATGCTGCCAAAATCGGCCAGGTATTTTAACTAACAACGAAGAAAGAAAAATATTATGGTATTTCTCATGCACGATATTAATTTAATATTCGATTGACACCACAGAACGCTTCTAAGCGTCTGAAATCGAATCGGTATACGGGTGATACTGATATTCCATATAAAGGCCTAAATAAAAAGAATGATATACAAGCAGTAAGGCAGAAACCCAGTCCGGGAGCTGATTTAGATGACCTCGAGTGGGACGAAGATGATAAAAAAGACTCGCATGGCCTTGGTTCTCAAGACTCTAACGATTACTATGAAACGATAAAAAAGGCTACAGAATCAAAGAAACTTGAAAAACGAAAACAATACGAAGATCAAAAGGAACAGCAAAGGTATGATTATCCATAATTACTTAATATATTGCTTTTATTAATATATATATATAAATTGAATAAATATTACTTAGAAACAATATATCCGAGGATTTCGATAATTTGCCTGAGGGTACCAAACGACAAATCAACTACCAAATTCTCAAGAATAAAGGATTAACACCATATCGTAATAAGGATCAACGAAATCCACGAGTCAAGCATCGTAAAAAATATGAGAAAGCCAAAAAGAAAATCAAGAGTGTCAAACAAGTTGTGAAGTCACAGGGAGGCGCATATGGTGGTGAAAAGACTGGTATAAAGATAGGCTTGTCGAGAAGTATAAAACTATCTTGATTACTTATTTTAAACTGCAAATAATTATAATAAAAGTCACGACTATTTATCCCATGTTTGATATCAAATTTGGGTATTTAAAATTTAACAGTTTTCATAATCATTGGGATGATTGAGTAAATTGTCAATTTTAAATTTTCAATACATCAATACAAATTCTTATTTAGGCAATTAATACAAGATGTTAAATAAAATAATTATGTGATTAGCATAAATATTGGAAGGATAGGATAGAATAGTTATTGTGAATTTTTTGTCTTGCAATTACTTTCATTCATCAAACCCGCGACGATGCCAAACACGTAATGTTAGATCATCCGAACAAGAAGCGATCTATAAGAAAAATAAATAATTTTTCGAGTATAGGTTATTAGTCGAGCATAACGAATGATGACATTCAACTTACAATATCAAAGTCGCTTCTACACCAAGCAACACTCGTAACTTCATGCTTGTGGCCTTGCAAGACAATAGGCGGTCGTTCAGGCGCGTCGGTTTCCCAGATGTGAATCCCACGATCACTTGACCCAGATATTAAATATCGATCATCCGGCGATAGTTCCATTCGGATGTAGAATGACGAACATCGATAGGTTGAATGATGGAATCGGGTTATTGGCATTCCCAAATCTGCGGCGTTGTATACATAGATACTGCAGATATTGTTATATATTTTTGAGGATGATGGAGTTTTTTTAATTGAGATTTCGTGATTTACTTACTAATTGTCCGTGCTGTTTGCGTATAACCGACGACCACTGTGATCCAAGGTCAAACATGATATTCCTCAAAGTTGAAAAGAATATGTTGTTTTAACTTTTGATCGATAAATATTCATTTATTCTCAATCAATATACTTTATTAATTTAATATTGTACCATGAGGTCGTTTAGCAGTGGAGCAATCGGTTGAAGTCTGGACGGGAAATTTAGCAAGACTGCGGTATCGTATGTCCCAATATTTGATTATTCTTTGAAAAAATCAATCGAGTGAATATTAATTGAGTAATCACATTCTCGAGCTATCTATTTGTATAACATATCATTCTGCACGTACCCATCCGCGGCACCCGAAGAAGCCAACAGATTCTCGTTATGTTTAAGGAATTGAATACCAGTGACACTAGTTGGCTTCTATAAATGAGATTTCGATGAATGTCTGAAAAAATGATGACGTAAATAGAAATTATACATGTTATATATATATATATATATATACCCGAATTGGGGTTGGGTCACTTAGTCGAGTTCTTTTGATACCTTGAAAATTAGTATGTGCATAGTTTATCGTATTTGTTGGCGCATAAAATCTTGCTATTATTTGAGACGGTCAAGAAAATGCAAAAATGTTTCAGATTAAATTAAATAGATAGAAGTCATCTAGATAATATACTTTGTTCAATTATCCGAGATGGGTTGATACGTTCATCCCAGATGTGAATGTGTCCATCTCGAGAAGCAGTTGCCCAAATTTCTATAATTTAAATCATCAAAATCATATTTAATTATATTTAAATGATTCACCATTCAAAATATCCATCAATACCTGGAGTTTTGGGATTGTAAGCAATCGCTTTAATACTACAAGTATGTCCCTCGAATACGGACTTACACTTTTGTGTTTCTACATCCCATAGTCGTGCTGATTGATCACCTGAAGCTGTTATCTAATTTTATTTTTCAATTTATGTAAATATCAGTCAATTTTTAGACCAAAACAGTAAGTCGAAAAAATTACCAATGATGTATCATCATAATTCCATTGAACCTCGAAAACGGCATTTTCGTGTGCTTGGAATTGTATTCGCGGTCGCGCTAAAAATTTACACGCATAACGATAAATCTAATTGATAATGTAAAAGAAAGCATCTGACGAGGCTTTGGATACCTCGTACTTACCCATTTCAATCCTATTATCGAATCGTGTATCCATGAGAGAAATTACCCCTTCTTCATCCGCAACCGCTAAAAACCTTCCATCGATATTTCCAATTCCTAAATGGACAAGAAAAGTCAAAAGATATACAAAAAGATAAGGCGACAATAAAAACATCACTCTACCAACCATGACTAAACGAACAAGCAAATGGTGCAATCTGTCTATCTTGTCCATAAAAATGGTATACATCATTATCGGTGCTTACGAAATCTTTGATCATAAATCTTGTTGAAGCTAAACAAGAATATTTGAATCATTTAACGTTATAACAAATAATGATAAAATTTTGATCCAAAAATGAAAATATAAACCTCGCCAAGAATTGTTAGCTAAAACGGAATCACTATTAGCCGTGCCCCAAAGTTCTCTTCTCATCAAGACATCAAAGGGACCCATACGATTCTTTGAAGTTCGCCATATCTTATTTTTGTAGACGGATTCTAACTTTTCATTAAAGACACGTTTGGCAGGTGGTTTCAGCGACGGTGACTTTAAGGAATTATTAGGAGTCTTTATCTCATTTTCGTCAGTTACTTTGTTTGATAACTTTGGTCGCTTAGTTGGAGGAGGAGTTGGTGTAGGCGATTGCGGTTCTCTGGGAAAGTAAGAGTTCCCGACCGATTGTGTGACATCTAATAGAGGCACTCTACTGAAATATTGTCGTATAGGTGACTTGATAGATCGTTTCGAAGGCTCTTGAGGTGTATTCTCGCTCATTTCTATCAACCAATTATATTGTATTTAGTACATGTCAATTCACTACGCACGAGCAAAAGGTTCGTCTAATGAACATAGTTTAAAATTTACAATAGTTTCAAATAATTCTTATTTTACGTGACTTTTGAATCACAAAGAACTAGTTGAGGGAAAAATTCGATCTCTTTTTGTTGGTAGAAATGGAAGAGAATGAGCGAGAATAGATGAAATTTGAGAGCTAAAGACAAGACAGAAAAAGGTCGCGCTCTCGCTGTATTTTCTTACGCTTTCCAAAAGAAATTGAAAATATTTACCCAATCAAGTTTAAAGTTACACTAGTTAGCAGTAGTAACAAGGATAAAGGTAAGAACACGTTTTCTCTCGACAAAAAGACAGTTTGTCTTTGCCCTATATTTAAAGATACGCGAAAGATCAGCATAAAAGACGCGTAAATTATGATTGGCGGAGATTTAATTTTATGATCAAGTATTTCGTTCTTGCACTTTATCGATACTCAATACTCTGTGACAGATTGTGGACCTGTCGAAAGAAAACCAGTGATGTCAAAACAAAAATTCTCAACGATTATTGATTTGCTTTATTTACAAAGATGTACTTATCTTTTTTTTTACTAAATTTCAACATCATTGGGAAAGACATTTTAATTAATATAGAATCACATTTGACTAGGATAAGACTATATCCTTCCAATATTAAAAAAAATCTTTCAATTTTTATTATAATTTTTTATTTTATATTTCAAATTCCCCATCGACGTGAATAACTGCGATATGAACAGATGAACCACATGATATTTTATAATCATGTGATATGCAACCTATTTGATGAACATGTGTCAATAATGCACATAGAATCTTCTTTAGCGAGGGAGCAAAGAATTTCTCGGATCAAGTCATGCGTGGAAGAAATAGTAATCTTCGTAGCGGAATATTTGTTTTTGTTGATATCGTTAATCAATTTTGCCGTTAGCCGCCTTCGCCTCTTGAACACGAGAAAAAAAATTAGACTCACGAAACGTAAAAAAATCTCAAGTATACACGAAGTCGAAATTTTGCGTAATAATCTGTAACACCAGATATTCGTAATAATAATTCATGATAATAATGAGAAAAAAATTCTCGAAATCGAAACAAAACCATCCTTCTACGCAATGTAATGTAATGTAATGTTTTTTTAAAGTTACAGGCAGATAAATAAGTTAAAGATGATGTGCATAATTGTCTAGTCGGGGTTCCTTCCTAACGAAAAATAGTCTTACTAATGAATTGGCAATTATTATATAGAAATAGTGTACACATTGACATTAAAATTTGGAAATAGTATGTTAAAAAAGCAAGGAAACACGTTATAGTCTTGTATTATTAAGGTAATTGGGGTAGTATAAATATTTGGTAGAGATTGTCAAGGAAAAATTAGGGTGGCAAAGCATGATTAGATAATAAATACTTGTATATTTATAAAATAATAAATAATATTTTTTTGATTTTGTTTGACAGGAGAAAAGAGGGTAGATTTTTTAAATCCGCACATTCCGAAACACACTGTGTGCATTCAAGCATAACGAAATAAATTTTACATGATCGAGAGAGAGATTTACTATTGCTCGTTTTTTTCGTTCTCATAAAACCGCCTTTAACAATAACGATAGAATAATTTTATATAAAAAAAATATTTATATAATGTGTTAAGTTTGTGGCTTAAAATCTTTTGAGTTGAATTCCCCTTTGGATCCTTTCGTGGGAAAAAGGAAATGATAAATTATTGACCGTACGTTGTTTGTTTTGGATTTTCAAGATTAAGATTTCAGACCCTGTTGTCGTTCAAGTACGACATGTGCAGATTAATTTAATTCAAACCCAAATCCAAATAAAATCAAGCTCAAATCTCAATCTCATCATACATCTAACCAAAACAATTTTATGGAAATGGAAAACAATTCAGAAATTTTTTATCAACATATTCAACTGATACATGTAAATCAACATGTATTACATACATTGTTTCATTGATACCATTATCAGCTATGATGTGCATTCTAATGACTCAACAATTCAAGATCCCAAAAAAAGGAAAAGATTTTTCTTCTATTTTTTTTATTTATTGTTTCGAACGAGTTTGGTTCTAATTGATTGATTGATTGATTGATTGATTATGATTCTGATTTCTTACTCTAGTAAACCAATTAGAAAATTTGGTAGAGAATAAAGAAATCAAGATTGCCGGGAATAAAAATCAAAGATGTCTCCCGACGATCACATTAATCCCAAATTAGGTAATCATTGTTAATTATTGAAATCTCCAAAGAGAAAAGGAGAAACAGAACGGAAAAAATCTCGCCTCGCCTCAAACAAGTCTTTTGTCTCTCTCTTTTTTTCCGAACTTTGTAAATAAAAAATGCATAATTCAGTTTTTCTGATATGGACACTGCCACTGTAAATAGCAACTTATGATATCAACACACGATTCATACACTGACAAGAGATTGCGAAAGAGAAATTCATGTACGAGTTTGTGTGAACGTCAAATATAAGTGAAAAACGGTTTATTTCCTTTTTGTTAAGCTACTTGTTTGACGACTGGACACAGCAATAATAATCGTCATCATCATAATAATCACAACAATAACTGATTGAACAATGACAAATTTAAGAGCGCGCGTGAGCTGAAATTTACTATAAACGTGGCTTTTGAATTTATCATTTGGCATTTTTTGTATTGTATACTATTGGCATTGTTATTATTTAACGATTATATATGAATAATAATGTTGGAAATTTTAGCTAATAAATCAACAATGTGTGTGTGAATCAATCGAAATTTCTGGATGTCATATAAATAATTTTTATTTCACACATCACATCACATCGTTTTGATCTTTTTGGCTATGCAATCACATCTTTTACTCTCAAATGTTTTAAAATCACAAATCACACACAATAGAATTTCAAGCAATCACATAAGATCTTAACTTTTGAGGATAGTATCCGTAATCACGATCCAAACCAAACCACTTTCAAATCGGTAACTTGTTTCTTGGCTTAGACTTTTCACGATTGAGACACACAAAAAAAGGAACACATAGCATCAAATTACATACATACGTACATATGCCATATTTGGCAATATAATTTACTCTAATTTCCCGCGCTAATAATTGAATAACGACGAAGGAAAAATTCGAAAAAGATCCACGCGGATAATTAGAATAATATGATTATGGAGATTACCGACGAAGAATCTTTCAATTGATCGAATAAACTATTAATTTTAATCAGAGCTAAACTAAATATCGAAAACTTTATTTCTTTTATTCCTTTTGCTTAAAAAAAACTTCGAATCGTGGGGATTAAGATTTGATCTCGCGTATTTTCTTTGCATCGTTACACGGATTTAATTTAGCCCATAATTGTAAAGAAAAAAAAGATCATCAAACACCCATTTTTCCATTAACAGCTGACAACGTCCACTTGCCTGGAATCGAAGCGTCTTTTCCTTCCTTCTTCAAATAATCACGACGACCAAAGACGATATACTAGTGAGACGACGATACCCTATTGCTGAAAAGAAGACCCTTACTTCACTCATCTACCTGTTAATTAATCTAGATGCTAACGTGGATGCAATGCGTAGGATCTACGCAGCAGCAGCAGCAGCAAAAGAAAAAAAAAGGGATTAACCATTTATATTTTTATATTAATATTTTCGGAGATTAAAAGAACCAATCGATTTCTTTATGAGGGCAAAAAAATTTCAACCTATCAACACTTATATGGATCTTTCTATGAAAGAGAAGTGTGATCAAATAAATAAATCAGCGCGTGCCAAGCTTTTAGTAGTGATAATTTTTTACGTGATAGTGAATGATGTCAATGAATAATCTCGTATGTGACTTATTGTTGTCTATCTCTCCGTCATTGAGTTATTGTCAAAAAAAAAAACAATTTTGTTCAGATTTCTCTATTGTCACCGCCACTGAAACCAATAGAAAAATCGTTACGAATTTTCATAATAGACAGAGGCAGTGCAATGTGAAGAGGAGAAATGTGACAAAACACAAGCAGGAAAGTTACAAAAACAGGAAAAAAACCCCCCAACTTTTCACAAGATTCCAAGCACTTTAAACCAACCAAACCATTACGATATCACAATCCTTTTGGCTTTGCCCGACACACACACGTATACACACATAAGCACGTTCAGCTGATTATCCAAACATGCATCAATATCATCATCATCATCACTATCACACACAAAACACTCACACACAGGTACACAACCTGCGAAAAAAGTTTATCTTTTCCGGTTTTTTTGATTCAATTCATCCCAAACACAAATTATCTCTTTCCAAATTTCGCTATAGTCACTTTTCTTGTGTAATTTTCCGTCGTTGCTTTCAACAACACTTCGCCTCAAAAAAAAAAGATTTTTGTTAGATTTGTTCTGTTTAGCTGCTGATGTCACTTCTCGTTCGATTTATTAATTATTTAATATTCGTATGATTAGTGAAAAAAGATGGATTAATTATTAATTATGTGTATGCAAACAGGCTATCACCTAATTTGAAACGCACTCTCGTATTAGCGATCACACAAATAAAGTGGAATAAGCATAAAACGCATGCACAAAACTTTCCATACTCGGTAACTTATTATTAAAAAAAACCTAAAACCGATATTCGTCTTACTATATTCAATGAACGATAATATTAAAATAATATAGCATTTACGTAGTGTGAAATTAGATGTTACGCGTTCCGTTCTTTGGGGGGGTGCGATATAATTTTTTATTTATCATCATCACACAATTCAATTATTTTCTAAAACAAGATGAACGAATGAAATAATAACTTGATCAAAATCCCATTTACTAATGTTACCTATACGCACTATATAATTCGGCTGTCAATTAATGTGACAAAATAAAAAATGAGCTTATTCTGATTGTGATCATCATCCCAATCAGTATAAAGAAAAAAAAAATAATAAAAATTCTTCAACCTTCTACTACCACTTCTACTATACACAATGTACTACTTTTATTGAATATCTACAAACAAACAAATAAATAAAATAAATAGACAACCACACAAAAAACAAATATAAATAACAACAATTATACCCTAACCAAAAAGATTAATAATAAAAAATAATAAACGAATCAATTCCCAAAACATATTCAGCAAGATATATTATAAAAGCAGCCTCAAGCGAAGCCCACACCACCACCAAGCATCATCGTCATCATCATCATCATCATTATTATTATTATTATTTTCATCATCATCATCATTATTATCAAGAAACTTATTTTTTTTGCTCATACGATTTTTACGGATTCTTCCATCAGCATCAGCTCAGCATCACGAAATGTTAAATTTGTTCAATTCAATGAAGTAGTCGAATCATTTTGTACTTCTAACGATCAAATAATTAATTTCCAATCAACTTATCTGCATAATCACACATTCAAAAAATCATCAACTGCATAATAAATTGTCACATAGTGGATAGTCAGATAATACCAATTGATAAACAATAATAATATTTGGTCAAAATGATGAAGCATCACCACCAACAAAATGACTCGAATTATCATAGCGAAGCAACAATTACTCCAACTGTTTGTTCTATCGCTGTTTCGCTTTGTCCAGACTTTGAACACGAAATCTCAACTGATAATTCCAATAATAGTAACAATTCTACTATCACCACCACAACAATTACAACCAATACCGTGAATATGACTGCGTGTAATGAGAGTAACAATAGCACCAACAGTAACAATAACAATATTATTAATGTGAAAGAATGTGCTTCACCGCCACCAATGGAACAACCTCCAACACCCCATTCACCAACTCCACCTCCGGAATCACAGCCACCACCTCTCTCACATCAGCCTGAAGAACTGCAACTGCAACGACAACCACTGGATGATCAAGTTGTTCCACCAGAACTTAACAATCTCGGTCTCTTTACACCAGTTGACGAATTAGACCAAAAATACGAAATACCATATTACAATACTCACTCGGATACTTTAACTTATTCGGCTACTTCAATGATAGAGCCATTCACGATACCGGACACTCATTATTATTATTTTCCACCAGTTTTTACGTTCGAAACTAACTCGAATAACATTAACAATAATAATAATTCCGAAGTTCACCAAGAATTTCAGCAGCATCAGGATCACCACCTTCAGCACCACCCACACGAACATCAACAGACTAATCGTAATGGTTTTTCGGGTGAACATAGTTGTATATCATCGAATGATCTTCCGGGCATGAATGATAGTTTCTCGTCAATTACGAATTCCCCCGAGTTCCATATTAAATTGGAATCTCAGCATTCGATTTTCGAGAATGATTATAATGTCACGTTAGCGTTATCCAAAGATATGTCAATTCCGCATTTTTCATATCCGCAAGGTACAATAAAAATTATTGCAGAATTTTTGATTTATTCTTCTGTAACTTGGACGCGTCTCACTGATAAATTCACATTCTTTCTTTTTAGATGAGTCGCAACTATTTACGACAATGGCAGAATGTTTCCCAATGCAAACAAACGTTGAAGACATACAATCTTACGTTAATGGTCTCTCGTCTCCAGACCTCTCGCAACATTCAAAATTCTCGCCACATTCCACTTTCTCTCCTTTATCACCATTGTCACCACTCGATGAACAGAATTCCTTATTTGATTTCGACACGAAGCTTTTCTCGCATGATATGCCTCCTCAATTGGACAGTAGAGACTTCTTCGCGAGTGATTCATTCGTGAACAATAAATCTTTTGATGAAACTTTATTCCTTCGAAAATTTGCTGGCGCTCCAATAAAACATGAAAACGAAACGCATGTTTATCGTCGCAACAAGTCATCACAACAACATGCGCCATATCCTACCCCCTCGCCAACGAACTCTGATATTTCACAACGGCTTCACATTGAAACAGCTTTGGCGCCGCCACCAGCAAAACCATCACGAAGGACCACAAAATCAGCTGCACCTTTCGCCTGTCCACATGAACATTGTCCGAAAACTTTCACGCGTCAATACAATCTGAAATCGCATCTTCGTACACACACCGATGAACGACCCTTCGTTTGCAATTATCCCGGTTGTCCGCGTGCCTTTGCCCGACAACATGATCTTAAGAGACATCAGAAATTGCATTTAGGATTGAAACCACATGTATGTACGAATTGTGGACGTGCATTTGCGAGATTGGATGCGCTTAATCGTCATTTACGAAGTGATAATGCTGCTCAGTGTGCTCAAGCAACTTTGGCTGGTGCTATGGGAATAGGAGGTCCTAATATTAATGGTAACAATAATAGTAATAATAATAATAATAATATGAGTGGTGGTGGCGGTGGTGTTTCGGGAAAATATATCAAGTCCAATTCTTTATGATCTATGTTTCTTATCTTTTATTATTGCATTTGTTATAAATTAATTAATGTTTTTTTTTAATTGTTTTATTAACATGTATCATCAAAAATCTGCTTTTTTATTGTTTCTTTCACTCGTTTGTTGGCTTGGTTTGGATTTTTTTTATTTTTCATTTGTTTATTTCTTCATCTCTCATGCATTCATCACCTCATTTTTTCACTTTCATCGCAAAATTCATGTATAAAAAAGTGTATCGTGAAAAATTCACAAAAAAATTCATCGTGCGTAATGCATTTTTTTTATTTTCTTGTAAATTATTTTTATTCCGTAGATATTTTTTATAACATTTGACATCAACAACGCCCACAACATTACACCCATTTAATCACCGCCTTTTTCTTTCCTCTATAATTTTTATTAGTTTTTCGATTTCTCTTCTGTGTTTATACTTTTTTTTATTTTTTTTTTTCCAAAACTTTGTCAACAATTTTGTAAATAGTCTTTCTTCAAAAAAATTCGTGGAAGATTCAAAAATTTTTTGGGATGGGGGGAGGTTAATGCAAAATAGCATCATAACAGGCATCATACGAATGCACACATCACACTCTTACACATACATATAACAAAACATACATAAAAAAAGACAAGTCACTATTTAATTATCATTAGAACTTGGGTTAACTATCACAAATTAAATTTTTTCGATTTTCGAAAAAATCACGTACATGTATTAGTATGCACATACGCACACGTTTTTCTTGAGATGTTCCCTGCACGTCGATGTTTATCGATGATGTGATGATGATCATTTTATCATTTTTATCATTGAAACTAATTTTACAAATTTCTTGTTTCTTCTTGTTTCGTTCACACCCTGCCACAAAACATAAATACAAACATCAAATAAAGAAAAAGACCAATCAAATGAATTGCTATATAAATCTAGTAATAGTTAAATTGTCAGGGGAGGGGAATACGGGTTTTCCGTCAACATTGATAGGACTCTTAATTTTGATCTTGTATTGTCCAGGGATGTTTGCCGATTTTTATACAATCTCTAATTTTGCAGACATGACACATGAATAGGTTTTAACTAAGTTTGACTCATTCTAAACTTTGGGAGTTTTGTATTGTACTTGAACATGTTATCTTAAAAATATTACTTTATCTAAAATATTGCTTTATAAAATATTATTTTATATAAATTATATTTTTGTCGTCGCGGCGACATATGATCGGACCAATCACATTAGCGAATCAAAATTCAAACAGTTATCTCGAACTTTTGTCTATAAAATTGCTCTTAGTGTTCTAATCAAAAGTTCCTTGTGAAATTTTACATAAACATAAACATGTACTTTTACTTTTTTACTGTATATAATCCTCATTCTGATCTTAACAGAAAAATATAAATTATTATCAAATTTCAGACTTTTATCCAATAAGTATATATTTTAGCAGGAATAAATTATTTTTGATCAGATTTTGTGTAATTACAAAAGATTTTCATAAGTATATATCCATTCTTATATAAATCTTTAAATGTATTATATTACTAATCATCTTGTAATTTTTTTCTCATAATTCTTTTAATAAAAATCTAAATTTTTACTTTTCAAAATAATTTTTGAAAAATGATATATTTGATTAATAAATAAAAAAATTAAATATAGATCATATCAAAATTAGTTTTGATATATAGAATATAATATATCTCTTTATTATAATAATAATTAAAATTATTTTATTAATTTTTATATTTTAAAATAAGAAAGAATTAATAATAATAACTTTTTTTTTATTAAAAATTATATATATATTTTTATAAATTTTCTTTAATTAAATAAATAATCTAAAATTTTATAAGAAAAAAACAAAAAAAATTTTAATTAAATATATTTATAAATATAATCAGATCTTTTATAATTATTATACTTGAAAAAGTAAAATTAAATAATTAAAAGATGTAATTTTTTAATTATAATTAATTAATAACTAAGAAACTCAAAAAAATAATTATAAAAGATATAATTATAGAAAGATTTAATTATAAATAATTCTTAAAATTTTTTTAAGAATTTATTTATTTATTTATCAGTTTATTAATAAAATTAATTAAGAAAATCTTAAATTAATTTTTAAATAAAAATATTAATTTAACTAATTTAACTATCATAATAATTTAAAATTTTATTATAAATAAATACTTATATTATATAGTAAATTATCAAGAATTTTTATAAGATTAATTATTTAGAATATTTCATAATCAAAACATAAAAAATTTTATATGACTCAAATTTATATATTTTTTTGAATTATATAATAAATATTATAAGATAATTACAAAGTAATTATATAATTTATACTTCTAGAAATTATTTTAATTAATTTAAGTTATTCTTTTATAAAAAAATTTTTTGCAGAAAATAATTTTTCTTAATTATTTAAATAGATAAATTTGCTTATTAAAATAAATAATTTAAAAAATATATTTTTATTTAATATTATATAATTAATAAAAATTTTTTTATATTATTTTATTTTATATTATTTACTTATATTATAAGTTAAGTATTAATAAATTACTAAATTATTTTAGTTAATTTAAATATTCTTTTATAAAAAATTTTTTTATAGAAAATAATTTTTCTTAATTATTTAAGTAAATAAATTTACTTATTAAAATAAATAATTTAAAAAATAGATTTTTATTTAATATTATATAATAAAAACTTTTTTATATTATTTTAAAATACTTTAAATATTTTATATTACTTGCTTATATTATTAATAAATTACTAAGTAAACTTAAAGTTTTTATATTATAAAAAATAATATCATTTCATACTACTTACAGTATCTCTCATGATTAAGCTCTGGATACTATTCATCATCTTAGTCAATCTCATATTAAATAATATTCAGATACTATTTAATTAAATTATGCTTAAACTTGATTAATATTTAGATATAAATAAAGTAAAATATGATTCAAATTTTAAACTTACTACAAATGATATTATATATATAAATTATAATCTAATCATCTTCATATCAATAAATAGATAAGAAATATATTATCATCTTTTATTTAGTATGATAATAATTATGAATTCAAATAATTGAATGAAAAAAAATGAATAATATTTCAAATAAATATATTTTAACTAATTCTGTATATAAGAGTAAAATCTTTAAGATCTTTATCACATATTGATTAAAATTACTTTATTAAAATATTGTGAAGATATAATAAGTAATAAATATAAATTTTTAGATCAAACATTATTAAAATACTATTGTATATATAAATAAAATGAGCAAATAAATTATCATACTAACTTCATATAATAATCTGATTATCATAAAGTTCTGATAATAAACAACTCTCTAAAATAAGTAATATTCTCTTCAGATCTAAAAGTCTTAGAAAAGTTAAATAAGTAACTCTTATTTGTGATAGTAATTTTTAATATATAGTAATAAATATTTTTTAAGTATTTTAATAATTAATAATCAGATTAAATAAAAAAAAACTGCCAAAATAATCATCTCAATAAGATGAATCTAATAAGCTATAAAATATTTAATTTAGATTATTAGTTATTAATATATTTACATTTATTTAAAAAGCTCAAAAATAAGTAATTCTCCTAAAAATTAATCTCAAAAATAATGATATAAAGAGTTATTTATTATCAGAACTTTATGATAATTAAAAAAAATAGTAATAAAAAAAACCTTAGTGATATATTATAATTCTATTTTAATTATAGATTATTATTAACTATAACTAATTTCAAATATTGATATAATTTTCTTTTTCTTGCTTATAATATTTATATTCTTTACTATCTTTCAAGTTAATATTTTTATTTTCTTTATTTATACTAATTTTACTATTTTTATCTTCTTCTTTAATATTAATTTTTATATCTTTTTCTTCTCATACTTTCTTAAAATCAAAAATCAAATTATCTTTTGAATTATCTATACTTATTAAAATTTTATAATATTTAAAAAATTACTGAATTATTAAAGATCAATTACTTCTCAAGCTTTTTTGATCTAATTTATTACAAGTATGTTAATCACTTGATTTTGCCTATTGGTATATATTCTTTGATAGCTTTATCTATCTAATAATTATAAATATAATATATCTATTAATAAAATATCAAAAAATAGCATAAAAAAAATAAAAAAATTTATAAAAACTAATCTTAGCTTTGAATAATTATAAATATAAAGTTAATTCACTAAAAATAATAGCTATATTAATATTTTTCTTATAAAAATAAAATTTTACAAAGTCTATCTTGTAATTAGCAAATAAATTCAAAATAAGAAGAGAATATAAATTTAAATCTTGATTAGCTCATTAATTCTATATATTTTCTAATTATTAAATTATTTTCTTTTTATTTATCTATTTATTAGAATTTGTATAAACAAATATATCTTTAAAAAATTACTCTCATAGAGCTTTAACTAATTTAAAAATAATAAAAGATGAAAGTTTGATACTATCTGTAAGATAATCAAGAATTACTATAAACTTAATATGTTCATATCCTGTTATAAGAATTAAGATAATTTATATTTTACATTCTTTAAGAGTTATTTGATTTAATAAATTAAATATTATAAGAGTTTTATCTATATTTTTAATTAATTTTAAAGAATAATTATATTTAGTTTATTAGTAAAGAATAAATAATAAAAAATTTTGCTGATCTTCAAGATATTCTTCAGATAATTGTTATATAATTATAATATATTGATAATTTACTAATAAATATCAAGACATAAATTTATCAACTTATTTTTATGAAAATTAATATCTATAAATACTTAGATATAAGATAATATAATATTATTTATATAATAAGTTATAAGTTTTCATATTGATTATATATCAAGTAATAGTCTTTAATTATTATCTTAATTCACAAAATTATTCTAAAAGTTCATTTTTGAGCTCTAAATATTTAGGATATATACTAATATTGAGTTATTAAATATAAGATACTATATATATTAGATTATTTTTCAGTAGAAATAACATAATTATGTTATTTTCACTTAGTCTAGATTATATATGATGATGAAATTATATATATATTATTATTCAAGTAATAATTGATTCATGAGCTCATCATCACATTTAGGTACTCATGATCTATAAAAAATATGATGATAAATTTATGTTCACATCATCATACTTAGATATCTTATAATCTATAAAAAATATGATAATAATTTTATATTCACATCATCACACTTGATTATTTTGATAGATAATAACTTATATATTCTTTAGAAAATCAAATTCAATATCAATAGTATTTTAATCACTCATATAAAATTTTGTATATCAACTTAGTGTTTCTAATCAATTTTAATTATAAAGAAATATCTAATTTAGGTTATAATATACTAGCCTAGTATTACAAACTATACTCTGGAAGATAGATTTTATCATAAATATAGTTTATAATAAGTTTTGAGGATGAAAACTGAATTATTTATAAAGATTAAGAGAATAATAATTATTCTAAAGATTTCCTAGTACCAATACTTACAAGTATTATATTAACACAAGATAAAAATGAAATAAAATGAAAATTATAAAAATGAAGTTATGATCATGAAAACTAAACTAAGAATAAAATACCTAAAACTAAAATAACAAATATTATAACTAAAACAAAAGATTTAGTGTGCTGACTAAACTCTCTAATAGTATTTTTTCAACTATTAGACAAACAAAAAAGTATATATCAAAACAAAGCTTTTATATATGGAAAAATATACAAGAATCTTCTTAATCAAATAAAATATACTTGGCTTATTTTAAGTAAAGAGTATCCATTACCTAAGTTTTTCAGA